TTTTTACACCCAGCTTATTAGCTTCAAGTCATCAGCCGTGAGTGCTAAAACCAGCCGGTCCACAGCCGACAAAAGCCCAAAAGAAAACCAAAGGCGGCCTGAACCCTTTCATGTTCGTCTCGTCAGGCGCAAGCGGATGGCCTAGGCGAGGGCGTATGATTCATCAAGGCTCGCCCTGTACGACGACTCGTGCTGGAAAGCCATGATTGTGAGGCTGGCGTCCTGGTCCCCTTGTCTGCTTATGAACAGGGAAAATGCTTGGCTCTGATGGAGTGGCTCCGATTGCGTGAATCGCTCGGTGGCGGCGTGCGTCAATGTCTCATACGGGCATCCACCAAAGAAAGGAAGCCAAAACAAATTTTGCGCAAGGACGAAATTCGGCAAAGGCAAGAGGGGGAAGAGGAAAAAGGAAGTTTTCGTGGCTCGGCGGCAGCCATCCAATTCCAGCCAGCCATTATTACCGAGAGATGGTTGTTCAGGTGGCCCCGAGCATCGAATCACAGGCACAAAGAGGGCCGGTCCACTAATGCTGCTCCATACCTCTCCGGTCTAGGTGCCTGGTCAGAGGAGGGAAAATCAACAAATAATGGGCAATAGCGTGTGCCGGCTTCTCACGACATACATCGAGAGCACAGCACTGTGTGGAGTACCGCAGCAGGTTGTTTGCATTGTTCTTGTTCGAGTCCGACGGTAACAGGCGTCCGCAGAGGCGAAAAGACGACGCTTCCGGTGCATTCACTCGTCCAAGACGGCGTCAGAAAGCGGAGTGGAGATGGCCAGGAGTTTCCTCTTCCTGTCCGAGCGAGGCCCTGCTGGTGCTGTTGGGTCTCCGTCTCGCACGAGCAGAGAGCGGCGCTAAAGATAGTTTTGTTTGCCTTTTGCCTTGGCGCAAGACGCGGAGGCCAATATTTGCCCAGGTAGCATTCGGATCAACTCATTCATTCAGTGCTCGTCCGTGATGATGGAATCCTTGCCCACTCGGAACATGCGACGCCAGCACTGGATGGATCCCGCTGATGGCTAGACTCAGCCGTCCGTGTTTAAAGAGGCTGCATGTCGTGTTGAATCCTGTGATGGTCGTCGAGAACCTTGGTCCGTAGCCGAGGGCCCTGGTGCTGGAGAGTACAGTACGAGTAGAGAAGTGGCGGGGGGGAGGGGATTAGCCGCGCATGGAAGTGCACTTCTTTGTCTTGGGTTCAAGGCTGAGCACTCGTATGTACTACTCGTAGCCTGTAGGTGAGCATCACAAGCTGCGTCTTTGTCTGTGCCGCACACGCACTCGTATGGCCTGGTGGCAGCAGCTTGTTTCAAAGCGACCCAACGGCCTGTTGCAACTGCTCAAGTTTCGGGCTCCTCGGCTGTGACCTCGGCGACACGCATGCTGCTTCGACTCTTGTTGTTCGCTTGTGATTTTGATGCCTAGCCCCCTTGTGCTCTAACCTTGACACCAGACGCTTGTTAGCACCTTGCATTCGGCGTTCCACAATCACGGGAAGCCTGAGTAATACAGACCTCAGGCTTGGTACTCGTAGATGGTGTAGCACTGCACCGAGACTCCATACCGATGGATGTACCTACTCCTACTCCTACTCGTCCTCTAGCCTGCTTGCTGCACTCCGTCGCCGTACGTCCGCACGCACATGAGTGAGTGGAATGCTCTGCACGATGGCCACCGGCCCACCTCGAAACTAGCAGGTGAGCGGCCGTGTGATTGGACGATCATTGTCGATTTTGCAGCCGGCCGGCCATGGCTAGTTCTAGTGTGAGAGCGTGAGAGAGGAGAGGAGAAGTCATATTGCTCGCCATCCGTCACATCTTATCAGTTGTAGGTACCTTAGTACCTAGGCGAGTGTTTGTTTGGTGTTTGTTTTGGAGGTACCTCGCCATGTCGCCATCGCACCGCCAGAAACCAAGTACACGCATAGCTCAGTTGACAGCCTGAACATCCAGGCATCCAGGCATAGATGCAGACAGACCGCCCAAAAGTGACAAGACGCAATACCTATCATACAAAATAATTCAACACATCCATACGCATCGTACCCGTACAAGTACAGTACAACCGGTAATCCCCAACCATGTCTCTCACGATATGATATCAATGCATATTCGTCATCACGATTCTCCTCATCCCAGCATCTGTCGCGCACAGGACCCAAAAGCGGGCCAGGGCTCCATCGTCAATCAGCCTCGATCCTTCTGGCGTCAAGCTAGGCGCTCGACGGAGCACCCATGGCCTCGTACGACGGCCAGCATTACAGTATCAACAAGGCGCTGGGCGATACGGAGTACAGGGGACGGGCTCGAGATATGCTGCCGATGCTGATAGTGGTCTAGGACATTGGCAAGAATGCCCGTGACAAGCCGTCTCCGGTCCAGCTGGTGATGATTTGTTCCGCATACCACTCACTCACTGCCTCTTGTGTTGCGCTTTACTGACTGTACTAATCCCGTCAAAACAGACATGAGTGCGATACTCGTGCCCTTGTTGCTCTCTCCCTCTCGCGCATTGGCCGTCAGTGTCAGGCGACAGTGTGACGCCCTTGTCCTCATCCCACCACCCGATCCAACATTAATCTACTTTTACGGAGTACTTGCCCGCACGCCTTCACAGCTTCAATGGGAAAAAGCCTTGTCGAACAAACCCGAACCCACCCGGTCCAGCAGCTGCTTTGTTAGCTGATCGCTGGCCTGTCCTAGGCGACGCCACGAAAACTGACTTGGGTGCCCCAAATGGTCGGCCGAAGCACACATTGTGTGGACGAGTCCCTACTCGTACTCATACCGTAGCGGGGGCCACGACGGTCCATGCACACCACACATCATCAGGTGCGGTCGAAGCGCTTGTGTGTATGTATGTACTTGCACCGGCTAGCACCAGCAAAGGTCATGGCATCACTAGACGCCTGGCTCTGCTTCCAGTCCAGGCATGACAAGGGCCATCGCTTTCTGTTTGGGCGCTGCCGTCACCTCCTGAGCCGCTTGCTGCCAACGAGGCACAGGAGTGTACTTGTACTTGGATACTTGTACACATTAGCCTCATGCTGCTTTCAGGGGGACCGCCATACTTGTAAGCCGCAAAAAGAAAAACTGCACAGATGCCACCGGAATCGAGTGTCATATGGGGGATGCACGCACGCCTTACAGGTGGTAGGTGGTATGTATGGTATGCCATGCTTGCCATACGGACGGAGTACCTCGTTGTTGCAAAGCGTGAGAGATAGGTGCTACGGTAAGGTAGTATGCAATACTACAAGTATGGGAATCATGGATGGGAATGCGGTCCCCTCTTTGGCAGCTCAACTTGACTGGTCCAGAAGCAGCCCCCCCTTTAGCTTGGGCATGGCGTCCCAAGTTGCTTTCCACCTCAGTTGCCTCGTTTTCATTCCCTTCTCATTTGCTCACATTCTTCGCGTTTCCCTCTCGCAGCCGGGGTTACATCAGCTGCGTGCGAAGCGGCAGCCAAATGGCAACGCCCGTTAGTCTGGGCCGAGCATCACTGCGCCCGGTCCGCAACGAGATTAGCCCTGTTTCTCATCATTTCAATTTCTGTATGCCGTGTCATGCCATGGCCCTTCCCTCGCCGTCGAATGGTGACGATGGTTGATCCCTTTCTGACCTCCTTAACCTGCCCACCCCTCCCTGAGACTGAGAAAAGGAAGAAATCCGCGGCTTGATCGGACGCAGCTGAGGCTCCCCGCCTTCGCCTTGGGCCGCGTCTTCTTACCTTGGCCCCCCGGCCACTTCACGTTCCGGTGGCACGGCGGAGGGCCGGATGACGGTTCCCTACTCGCTTTGGGCTTAGACGCCTTCATGACGGGCAAATCCAACAGGTTTAATCCAAGTGCCACCTTGGTTCCACAGACTGACCAAGTTCCGGGCTATGCATGTCCTTGCTGCACTAACATCAACCTCCTTTACCCGGGCGGTTCTCTCATCCTCAAACCCCATCAGCGCCATAGTTCAGCGGCTCTCAATGAATCCTGTGCTGTACAAGTTTCAGTCAAAGTCAACCCTCGTTCCGTCATGAGCCTAAAAGTGCCTGGCTCCCAGCCAAGGTCCACTGGCTGATAAATAAGCCAATCTTACCTACGCCTCAGCGTTGGGCCTCTTTTATATCTCGGCTATCGGGTTATACACCAGATTTGGCATATTGGCGTCTGGGTTTATTTACGCAGGCACAGCAAAGTAGCTCCTTGGAGGCACAGTCTCGTCAAAAGCACAGTCATTTACTGTCCTCAATGACAGCATGGGATCGCGATCCTCTGCTCTGGCTGCCTGATTGGTACAGCCTCCGTTTTGTTCGCTGCTGGATCCTCCCACGGCCTCGTTCAGGAAACTATTTGGATGGAGCAAACACGGCATAGCAAAGCCGGTTACAGGAGCGGGATTTCGCTGCAGGCCCCAGTGGGCGCCAAACCCCTCACCAGGCTCGGTGATCCTTTGATAGTCGCACCATGTCGGGTCCCTGATAACGACCACGACCAAAATAGTACGCTGCTATGCAAGATGAGCTTTCAGGACTCAAGACGTACCGGAGTAGAGACGAGATATGTATGGAGACTGCGAAACAAGCCATTCGTCAACACCAGCGATAGCATCGACCGTCCTCTTTTCCACCTATAGCCGTGTGATCCAACTTGGATGTAGGCCACGTAGCAGGCCTTGTTTGATTTTCATCATGGCGATGCAAAGGTCCAGCGGTTCGTCGGCTGCGTTCTTAGCAGCCTGCTCGGCTCTCGGAGACCGATGAGGGGAGAAAGGGCATTATAACGCCATCGACTATGCCGATGATCACGACAGTCCGATCTCCAAATGCTCTCTCCCCGCGCTCCATCTCGGAGACCGAAGATAGCTCAAGACGGTTATGACTCTTAAGATGAGGAGTCGTGGGCGATTCTTTTCGTTATCGCCAGCACATCTGAACATTGGGTGCTTCTTTTTGATAGTGCATCGTGAAGTTTCTAGATCTCTATTTGACCACCACGCTTTGATCAAACATGACCAAGACAACCACCGCAGCCCTCTATCCCAACGAAAAGGTAGCCGCCGAGGTGGGGGCGTACTCGGAGCGGAATTCAACTGCATTGCCAAAGAACCTCATTGAATATCATGACTCCATAGTGGAAAGCCGTTCGGACTCGGATTACATGGTATCGAGTTTGCAAGCACAGAGCCTTGCCTTTTTTGCCAGAGCCTTTGGTGCTAAGCGGATTCTTGAGATTGGCTCTTATGTTGGCTTCTCTGCACTCGTTTGGGCACATTCCGTCGGCCCAGATGGCAAAGTGACAGGTCTTGAATTCTCGGAAGAATATGCCAAGATTGCAAACGAGGCTTTTGAGAAGCAGGGTGTGAAGAATGTGGAAATCATCGTGGGAGATGCACTTCAAACGTAAATCAACCACTCATCTCCACCGTTTCTTTCAACCTTGTTAAGAGCTTTGTTCATGAGCAAGACTGACAAAGAGATGAAGGCTTTCGACTTTGAAACCCGAGGAGCCGTATGACTTGATATTCATTGATGCTCAGAAATCAGGCTATCCCGACTATCTCCGGGACATTCTGGCCGGCTCTCAGCCTGGTTCAACTACACGGCTCCTTCGCCCTGGAGGCATCATCATTGCAGACAACGTCCTCCGGCGTGCGCTGGTAGCTGATGGGAGTGAGGAGAATCCAAACTGGGGATTGCAGCGACACGTGAAACATGCCGAGGATGACCTTACGGCCCTCCGCAAGTTTAACACAGCGTTGGCAAATGATGAACGGCTGGAGGCGCTCCTCTTGCCAGTGTTTGACGGCGTCGGTTTTGCGAGACTTCTCGATTGATTGGAACTCGGGCTCTATGTACAACGTTCCGTGAGTAGGATGGAGCCGCCAATATAGGACCAAACTTGGACCCTGGTTGGCAAGGATCCCGTTGACTCTAGGTATCGTGTAGCTTCTGTTGTGGGAGAGGGCGCAGAATCAGCTACGAATATAGACAAAGTTGACCATGATATTATCTCTCAAAATGACATCGCGGCCGGCTCTCGCTCAACAAGCTCCTTTCGCTAAATACCGTGGGGTGATGGCAAGGCTTTCCTAAGCCTGTCCAAGGCGCCCTCCGACTGTAGACATGACGGATGGATGCTTCTAAGGAACCTTGCTGTTATTGCGTACGAGAGTGAGGTTATTCTTATGACCGACAGCCGTCATAACGCGGAGTTTTTGTGCTGATATTTCGTCGTGATAATAATACTCGGCACGAGTAATCGTGTAAGACCGATTTTTTCGATTCCTAACCCGCTTATTCCTGTCCGCTCTTTCTTCCTAGTGCGGCCCCCCGGTCAGAGCCAAGTACAAGTATTCCGGTGTGGCGGCGAACGAAGCAAGGATCTCTGCTTGAGCCTTTTGCGAATGGTGAATGGCGAGATGTCATTGATATGGGGACACTTTGCTGACCTGCCCTGCTATCTTGTGAGTGGGCTGTTTGGGGACCTTATTGGTGCTACGGTAGGCGAGCGGATCGAGGCAAAAAGCTGCGGTTAATAAGAAACGACTCACTTTGCATGGCTTTGTCTTTGGGGGGGGCGTGGAACGGGGTTTGGAATCTGTTCCGGTTTGGTGATGTACGGGGATTATGCCTTTGGCTGGCACCGGAGCTGTTGATGGTTGCCTGATGAGTGAGAGAAGAAGTCGTCTTGGTTGGTTGAGACATTGTGTGTACAGTTACAAGCAGGCTTGCTGACGGACAGGGATGCTGCTTGCTGGGAATTTCGTCGAATATGATATGCAGGCCATTTATTACTGACTGTATGTCGAGTGAGAAGGTACACACATAAGGTGTGTGTATGAGTGATAATCATCTTATGGTCTCGGTCTTTGCTGCTTTGAAAGAGTTCGGGATGTAGTAGCGATGATGTGTCTTTTGAATTAGCCTCTTTATTTTGAGCAAAACCAAGTGAATCTCGGCTGATTAAAGAGAATGATTATCGCTTGAGATTTTGGAGTTGCTTTTTTTCTTCGCCTGGTTAAATTGCTAGTTTGCTGGATTTTAGTGACTGCTAGACTGCTTTGTTGGAGTCGAGACCGGCTGAATTGGATTATACTGGCTTTTAAGCGCTGGAGAAGAATTCTGTATTGTACGCTTGTGAGGGAACGGAGTGTGTTTTCTTTTTTGGGGGGTTGTTGGAGGTGGGAAGAAGAAGATTTTATTTATAGTTTTGATGTAGGGTAGTTTGTTGCTGATGTCGAAGGAGATTAGTAGGTCAACGAGTGAGTGTACGTGATGACGAGAAACAATGATGAGTTTGTAACAAATTAACAAGTAATTATCCTGTTGCTCTTCAGTTCTCATTGAGTTTGTGATGGGAATGTTGGCATTGGAAGACGTAGAACAGTTGATATGTACAAATAGAGATGCAACCACTTTACCTCAATAAATACCATGACGGGAAAGAAGGAATATGGAACCAACAAGTACATGGCATTCCACTATGAAAAAACTCTCATAATCACGCATGCTCTGTATTCATAATGGCTGCATCATACTCCCTATCTAAATGGTCAATATCGTTTCCCCCTAATGCAATGAAAAGCTAGCACATGCTCCAAACCGGCTGTCAACTCAAGTATGCGTATACATCAACATCACGGTAATGCTAAATCGTCAGACGCAGGACTGCTCGCCGCAGTGCTCTCTTCCGCCTCCGACTTGGCCACCTCCTCCGCAACCAGATCCGTCCACCTATCGCCTCCAGTGCGCAAAACATGCTGCGTCGACAGACAATCGCCAAAGTGCCTCTCCCTCCTGGTTGTCCGGCGCTCTCCGCCTTCCAACGCCGAGTAGGCGCTCCTTGTGGTGCGCATTCGCTTCCGCTTGCCGCCCTCGCTGAGAAGGTTGCTCAGCTTCAGCCGTCTCTGCATGAGCTGGTGTTCGTATGCCACGATGCCCCGAACCCACGGCGCGACGTCGAGGACAATGAGCGCCGTCGTGCGATCAAAGACGGATGGGTCGAGATACGTGGTTGGCGCAACCTTGGGGGCCACAGCGATGGGGTCAAATGCGATGGCAATGTCCATCCTCGTCGTTTGATGAGGATACGATCGAAAGGATGAATCGAGAATTGCAATAGTCTGCTCTTCATCTGCTGGCCTCAAAACTGGTACCGAGGCCTCGTCGAACATCTCTGTGCTTGACTTGTGCAGCGTTGCACAAGCCAAAGCCGTGATACATGTCGAAATGGCCTTGTTGGGGGCAGCATAATGTACCACAGGATCGGCATCCAGAAAAGCCTGCCCCAAGATGAAGTCATCTCTGATGTGACTTGCGAGATCAGGCAGGGTTGGGTCGATAATCTCCTGGAATTTAACCCCGTAGGCGCCCCCTGAGTAGAGATCCGCACAGCTCATGGCACTGCAAAAGTCATCATATGCCTCCAAACTCCTCAGAATTGTCATATTTCTCTTGGGCTCTGCAGCATCCGTACCCGGTGATCTCATATCGACACTGCTGCGCCAATGTCCCATGTCGAGACCCCAAAAATCCCAAGCTTGCTCCATGGCCTCTTGTTCGGCGGCAAGTCCCTTGGTAGAGACGACCGGATCTCGACTAATCCATCCCATGCCCCTCTGATAGGTATCTTCACTGATGACTCGTACCACATCGCCATTCTCGTCAAGATCGGAGCCTTTAGGCCAGCGAAGATAGAACCAGTCAAACCCGCCTTTGCGATCGCCGACTCCAATCTGACACCAGTAGTTGAGCTCGGTGATCGTTGCTCTCAAATCGTGATTGCGAGAGGTATACAAGGCCTCGACAGCCGGTCTTTGAAGGGCGTGGCCTTCATTTGCGGCTATAAGGAGGCAGAGATCCACGGCCAGGCTTGAGGGGGCAGGTGAGAAACGGAAGATTCCATGTAGATTCAAGCTCTGCAGGGGCACTAGGCTCTCGTCGTTGCAGGTCATGATGAATGGTCGCTTGGACTGTGCAATGAGACTGGTCAGAGTCGCCCAAAATTGCTTGTCTTCTTCGAAAAGGATGTCGACTTCTTCGAGGAGAATGAGGGATTGCTTTTGACTTTTAGGCGGCGCTTTCGCCTCTTTCTCGACGCTCTCCCCGGGCTGCTTTGCTCGTTGCGGCTTCGTCGGTTGTGTCGTCGTCTTTGGTTTAAAAAACGATGTCATCATGCCTTGCTTCCCAGAGTTGATATCATTGGCCACCTCTTCTGGGTCGATGGCGGTGGATTCGGCTCGGTTGTGCTGTACCAAGTGATTGCGTGTCATGTCGCCAACTTTTTCCAGAATATCCTTGCCACTCCTTCGACTACCCGCGTTGATTTCGAAAATCTCAAAATCCAGCTCTTTTGCAACCGCATAGACTGCCGCTGTCTTGCCGCTTCCATGGGGTCCGCTTAGGACGATGGCATTTGTGAGACGGCCCTGCTCTTTGCTGCCCTTGCCCGCCATACTGATACTACGCATGACAGATCTCTTGAGCAGCCCCGAGCCAGGCAACGCGGCCCAATCCTCATCGGTATCGGAGATCTCATCCATCTCAGCGTCCTCCTCTTCGCTATCAATGACAAATCCGTCGAGTTTATTCTTCTTTCTCTTCTTCTTCGGCTTCCCCTTGCTCCTGTCGGCTTCTAAACTTCCGGACCCCACAGACTGCACCCTAAGAGCTTGTAGCCAGTCGCTGAGAAGTAGTGCCTCCTTTCCTGGCTGTAATATCTGAGCGGCTGTGACTGGGGCGTACTTTTGAATCCAAGCGCTGCCTTCACATTGTGATCTATCAAAGGCTGAAAGTTGTGTCTCCAAGGACCTGTAGAGACGACTGGTGGCAGGGTGGGCGTTGGAGTGTTGCTGAATTGCAAGTTCGTCGACACCGAGATTGCCCTCATCGTATTTGGAATGATTGGTAACGTGGCTCTGTAATTGTGGTCGGATTCGTTTTTGGAGTTTTCGGCCGCTTTCAAAGTGTCTCTGGGGTAAACGTAGTTCAGGAGGCGCTGGTAAAAAGTTGTTGTCGTTCTTGGGAAGGCTGTGACGCATCCTCGTCATGTCTAACCCGTCTACAAGATACCGCAGCACAGACTCATGAGGCGCAATAGAGACAGCCACCCTTTTTGATCTCCTGTATCCTATTCCAGATTCTCGAATGGTTACCCTCATGTAGGGGAAATCAGCATCCCGCACATGAGCCATCCCATGAGCTGGCCACAATGGATGCATGGCGCCGGGGATCTTGGTACCGCCCGATTTGATGCCAAACTGGATGGCTTTGCCCGAAGAAAAAGGATTCCTGGGTTTCTTTGGTGAGACCGGCGTAGACATAAACACGCTGCTCCTGTGGCTCGAGGATTTCTTGGTCGAATCGCCTGGTGTGCCGACATCAGATTGCGGTTTCGGTTTGCCAATGAAAAACGGGTGTGTGGTTTTTGATTTTTCAACTGTCCCGGTTCCCTGCTCTTGTCTAGGCTGAGTGCTTTTGCGTTTGCTTGGCTCAGGCGACAAGTTCAGCCTCCCTTCAAGTATCTCATTAATCCTCTCGCTCATATTCTTTCGATGCTCATCGTCCCGCCCATATCTGATCGTGACAATGAGACTCGGCTTGCTTGTCGCTTTTGGCTTTGGAGGCGAGCCTAATGTTCCAGTTTTTGGATTCCACTTGAGAACTTTCTTCGGCTGCATAAGAATGGGCGTCTGGGGTCTCGGAGCATCGGGCGGGAGTTGTGGAGGTTCGACTTTGCTCAATGTCTGGAGAGCCGCCTCATTTAGTTGCTCTGGGGCCACTTCGCTGAGCGTGGACGTAGGAACAGCCAGCTGGCCAGGCGTGGGTTCGCTTGCGGATACGACATCCTGGCCCGGTCTATTGAGATGGCTCAAAATAGCACCGTTCAGTGTCTGCTTTGCACTCTTCCTCCCCCGACGAGACTTTTTGACTTCGGGATCGTCGTGGGCCAGAGATGTGTCTGTCCTTCGTCGCTTTCGCTTGGGGCCTTCGGTGGTGTTTGTAGGGGGATCGTCGGATACAGGCTGTGCAGGCTCTACAGGTAGCGGTGCCGGAGGAACAATAGGCTGATCGATATCGCTCTTGGTGAAGAATGGATGGAGCTTCTTGGCCGACGGTTCGCCATCTTCGCCCTGCACCATTGTAGCGACCAGAACCGGTCCCATTGATCCGAGTACGTCTGTGTAGGAGAAGAGTGGTATTAGCACAGGTGACGGCTTTCTTTAGCGTCTTGCGCCGCCCTACCTTTATTTCGACATGAAGTTGCTGGTTGGAAGAATTGAACGATATCTATAGCAACACAGAGGAAGAAGAAGAAGAAGAAGAAGACAAAAGAGGATGAACAGAGACAAAGAAGATAAGGATAAGATAGGCGACCCTGCACATGCAGATTATCAAGTTCCTCCAAGCCTCACCGGTGTCCCAACTGCAACTGCAACTGCAAATCTATCGTCGAGCCCGCATCGGGAGCAAAACTCGCGTTGTCGATTCTGGCCTTGGACGCGTCCATCCTCCATTTACGCGTGCACTTTCTTAGTGACAGGGATCTTGTATCTTGTAGATTCGCGCCACGTTCGCCCCGCCACAGCACTTACCTAAGCAAGCCCCACTACGGATTTTTGCAAAGCCGCCAACTTTTTTTTTTTTTTATCTATCGAGATAGCTTCTATCGCTGGAGTCGCAAAAGATTAAGCAGCAAACTCGAAGCCTTCAAGCCAGCAGCAGAGTCACCATGGCTTCCGAATACAGAATACACAAGCCTTACGTGCTGGCAACGCTGCCGAAGCCTCTGGATCACACAAAGGGAAACATTGTTGCCAGAGAAGTCTATGGCCAGCGGGACGGCCAGAAGAAGCGAAAGCGAACAGAGCTTGTGGTGGGCGTTGATGGAGAGACAACCAGCATCTACGACGTATGTGGATTGTTTGAGTTGCCAATGGACATGTGCTAATCATGTACTAGGTCCCTGCGTCGAGATTGATCACCTCATACCCGATCCCACCCCAGGAATCGTTCACTAGCCCTCCTTACTCTGTCAGAGTCCGTCGCAACAACAGCAGCGATGCCCTGCGTTACACATTCATAGCAACCACTGACGCTGGGGCTCATAAAATCACTCTCTTCAAAGATGTGGCCCACCGCGACGGAAAGACGACGTCCAACAGCGTATCCCAAGTCTTGAGCACCTCCGCCGTCAAGTATCTCACTTGCTCTTCGCCCTCGAACGAAGCCGCAAACATTGGCGACATTATCGCCGTCTGTGAAGATGGAGAGGTCGTGTGCTTGTCTGGAGAGACGCTGGCTATCCGTTGGTCTTCTTCATCCAAATCAATGGTTCAGGATCTAGTGGCCGCCAATGTCTCAGACTTTCACGTCGAATATGCTCTCTCGGGTAGCGCTGCCGAGTTCAACGAAGGACTATTCAAGAATCGACCCGAGGTCTTTAGCGCTCTACCAAAGGCTATCGACTCTCAGTTGGAGCTCGTTGTTCTCATTTCTAAGAGTATGAGCCAAAACGTGGAGAGCCGGCACCTAATCGTTCTGGCAGCCGTGTCCGGCGACTCATCAGCGTCGGCAGATGTCCAGCACTTAGTTCCCCTTGACATTGTGCCAATCACCTCCATCGCCAGCCAGGACAACGCCGAGCAGCCTGTTTATCAGGTGGATGTGCAGTCCGGTCTTCTCCTTCAGCTTCAAGAGGGTGCCATCGGCGTCTATGACCTGACTGGAGCAGTCCCCAAGCTCAAGTCCTCCATTGAGGCAGAGAATGCCCAGTCCTTTGCCCGTCTCTTCAAGCCATTTATTCTCGCCTCCTCTCTGAACTCTATTGGTCTGTACAACTACCAGTACCGATCTGTGCACTCCAGGGCCACGCTAGACTGGTCAGAGGTCCCGACTGAAGGCGAGACGCCGCGATCATGCCAACTCATCAGCTACCTGCGAAGCCAGGATCTCGTTGTCGCCCTCGTAGAGAACATCTTGGTTACCATTCAAGTCGAGCCGCCAAAGAACTCTGGCAAGCGACGAAAGGAAGGCCTCTTGATCGACTCTATTGGACGAGGCACAGGCCTTGAGATCCCAACCAAGAGGGTTAGATGTGAAGCGGCTGAATTTTCCAAGCTAGTTCCCGGAACACTCACCGATGACTATCTCACCCAATTCCAGACCGAAACGGAGGCGGCCGATAAGCTGCTCGCGAATAATGAGCTTGGCAAGTGGGAGGATGTCCTGCGCGGCAAGTTTGGCGTGTCCAAAAAGGGCACAGGGCAGACGAACGGAGAGAAGACGAAGGCTCAGGAAGCCTCTGACTCTCAGGAGTTGCCAGAATGGGCATGGTTATCGAGAACACCATATCCGGCGGTGGACCGCAGATGGATCATTTACGCCATCAGCCAGATATTTTCCGTCGACATTAAGGAGGTCAACGATATCACACGGCCTGAGCTGCGTCTCGTCTTGCCCGAGAGCAATGTGACGACATACCTGGTGGTCGCCGGCCACCTCACCCTATCCAACCTGCGAACAGCCTTTAGGGATGAACTAGCACCCGAAGCGTCAGACAACCGTACCGTGGCGGGCGACTTGATTCGATGCCTTGCGGATGCCGATCTCTCCCTGACCCTGCTTTTGAACTATCTGCAGGCAACAAAGCTAGGCGAAGTCGAACTTTTGCTTGCCATCAGGGCTCTGATGCTCAGCATGGACTTGATTCCCGAGGGGAAACTGGAGGCCACCAAGCTGCTGACGAATGAGCCGCATCAGAGCAACAGCACCGGTACAGGCAACAAGGACGACATTGAGATGGACCTGGATGATTTGGAGCGCAAGATTGCAGTTACAGAGCACTATCTCGGCGATGACTCAAGTAGCCGCTCCCGTGGATTGACTCTGGCATTCACCAAGCTGTGGCGTCTGCCTGCAGTGTCTACGGTCAAGGCACTCCGAACGACGGTGTCGACAGACGACATCATGTCGCTCATCTACCTGCTACGAGTGGAGTTGCTACGTGGAGCGTGGACTTCGCTGTACATTGATCCTACCAGCTTTGACGCAGAGGGCAATGAGCCTCCTCCAGATGGTGTCATTGCCCTGATTGCCGACCTCTTGGGCCGATGCCTGGATGCGGTGGGAGCCGGCGGGTGGCTGTTCAATGATGCCATCTCTTGGGCAGACAAGGCCGAGACGAGCGACTTTTTGACTGCCCTACGGCTCGAAGTGACTGCCGCACTCGAGGGCATCGAAGAAGCCGTCTTCTTGAACGGTATCCTGGGAGAAACCGTGCGATTCGGAAATGCGGTGCAGAAGGGCGGTGCAACTAGACAGAATTGGGGCCCGAACAAGCCGATCGTCGTCCACTTGGAGAACCGCGAATCTCGACTGCTGCCGCTCGGCTTGAAGGCGAAGCTGCTGCCTACGAGAGAAAAGGTGGTGTCGGGAGGTGAAGTGGTTCAGCGAAGCATTCGAGAAACCGGACACCTGATCAGTCAAAAGGTGGAGGCTTACTCGCTGGAGAAGCTAGCCATTTGAGCACTCTTTTGCTTTGCTCTTACATGGTGTGTAAGGAAAAGATTCGGGGGATACGGATGAAGTAATTTCTGAGCGGGTGCTCTAGAAAGGGGGGAGGGGGGATGGACGGAAGGATTTCTTGACTAGTGCGGCTCAGAGGGAAATCGGTAACTGACTTGGGCAACTAGCCAAATCGGAGAAAATGTGAACCAAGCAAAAAAAGTGAGGCAACTAGATGCCTTGCATCCCACGAGGGGAGTGGGATTTTCGGTGAAGGGGGAGGGGAGGGGGCCAAAGGGACTTGAGTGAGGGGGGGAGGATCAGGTTTCCGATGGCCGGATACCTAGCTGGATAATACCATTGTTGTGCAAAGAAAGAGATAGATCTGGTATGTAATTGAAATGAGGCAATGGATTTTATTTCTCCATATATGCATTGCGTGCTCGTATTCGAGTTCGATTAGAGAGTCAATGGACATGATTATCACATGCAAACGGTGATGAAGCATTCTAAAGACTGCGTTGAAGAGGGTAGAATGAGGCAGTCATGTATGTGTGACATGTCGCCAGGACATGTGCCCTATCACGGGCTGAACTGGAATGCAAGGACATGGGTAGTTGGGACCTGACAAGCGGGGGAGAGGCGGTCTTTTGAGAAGCTCGCCTTGAATTGTTCATGTCTGGATGCATCGAGACTTCTTGGGTTAGGGCACGGAACTTTGGGGAGCTGAGGGTGAAGATGCATGAAAATAAGGGGCCAAGGAGCGAGAGAGAGGGGGGGGGGAGACTTATTGGTATGGACTGGAGTCTGGAAGAGGTGAAAAAGCAGGGCTGAAAGAGCATGGACTGCGTTAGGATGTAAGTTGGAAGCTAAAGTCGGAGAGTTGGTTGATTGCGAAGTCGGCCTTTGCCTAATGCCAGAAGCCGACACATGATCTCAAACACCGAGAAGAGGAACGACATGGAGCTCAATCTAGAATAACAAGGCGCAGCTTCTTTTGTGTCTTTTCTTCTCTCGGGTTGTTTTCTGGAGGGTTGCATATACAGGTACCCGTACCCGTACCCGTATAGTTGAGAAGCAAGTTTGCAGCCAACGAACCAATTGCGCCTCGAAGCTGTTTCACCTTGACCTTGCCATGGACAGACGCATTCGCTGTGGAGTGCGGGGGGCTCCGAAGAGTTCACGGGCTGATGCAGTGCAGCACAGCCTCGTTGCGAGACATGCATCAAAGGCAAGATTAGCTTGGATGAGATTGGCGAGGCCCGTATCGTATCGAGTTGGGGCGGGCATTGGCGAGTGCGAGACACGAGGTGGCAAAATGGAGATGCAGACGGAGAGTTGCCTATTATTAGAGCGGCGATGAAGAGAGAGAAAAAAGCTGAAGAAGAAATTGAATGAGACAGACAGGGGAGATCCGATGCCGATGCTGGTGATGATGGACTGTGTAGGTACGGAGCATGTACATGTAACTCGTACAGAGGTAGGTACTGTAGACGGACAGAGGCTCATCTTGACGTCAACAAGGGGATTGGCTGTCGGTGTTCCAATGGCGTCAAGGCTTCTCCCAAGGCTGTCCGTTGGGCCGTCCAGCCGCTCAAGCCACCAAGCGGTAGGTACCGGTACCGACTGACTACCAGCGAAAGTGTTGGTGGTTTCTAGGGCATCCTTGAGATGCTTCCATCCGCCCATCCAGGTTGCAAGACATTTGAGCACATGCAAATCACCTATGGATCAATGACTGGCCGTCGACAGGGGTCGGGGATGGCGGCCAGTTCCAGCCCTCCAGCTCTCTTCCAGGCTCTACTGTAGCTTTCAAGGGACAGAACAGACCCCCCTGTAAGACCCCCTGTGGCCAACCCTCTGGTTCCCCCACACAAGCAGGGCATTGATCATGGCGGGGCTGGTGGACGACGTCACAGCCCGTGGGTTTGAAGCCACATGTTGCGCTCTGTGTCTCGAACTTTGGGCACTGCTGATGATGTTTGAGGCGCGTGTGCGAGTCTGTGGCCATCGACGCTTGTTTTGCAGGCGGTGATTTGAGAGATTCGAGTCTGAGGGGGTTTTCCTGGCTTGTGATGGGCGAGGATAGAAGGAAGAGGAGGAGGAGGTAGAGGTAGAGGAGGAGGGGGTGCTGAGATGCTCTGTGCATGGACGTTTATATCGGGTGCAGTATCGATAAGTGGTCAAGAGTCAGTCATTGAAAATGGTTGCCTTGCCTCTCTCTCTTTTGCCTCTTCCTCCATCTTCCTCCCTCCTCTTCTTGCAACACTCACTCACACTTTCTCCCACCACTTCTCTCTACAAACATCACATCACAAACTCTTTATATTTTTATTTTCCCATCGGAGATATCGAGCATACGAACCCCCCTCGATCCCGGAAGCGCATCTGCTGCGCCATCTCCCGCCCACATCGACCTTCGCTGCTGACCAACCAGCAGATCCGCATCAGCCAGCCAAACAAGGCCGCACCTATCACGAGGACAGACACGCGACCGACGACCTTCGTCACTACCTGTTAACCTGTTGACCTGTTAACCTATTATAAGGCTCCGGCTCTTGTTTACATGACTGCGGCCTAACGTGACTCTGGATTCTCTCCCAAGAAGCAAAACCAGCCCTTTGTTTCAACGACCGGCTTCCAACCCCAAGGCAGCCAGCATCACTCAACCATCATCGCATACTCTCACCAACCAAGTTTCCCCTTCGCCTCCGCCACCGCATGGTAGCTATGAGCGGTACCTCCGTAGTCCAGCACATCGATGCCGTCGACGCCTTTGCCAGGACCCTTTACGTGCGCACCACCCAGTCCACTGTCCCGTCTCTCTCTGCCGACGCCTCGCAAGCCGTTCACAACCTCCACAATGCTCTGCGCGACCTCCGTGTCGAGGCTGCCGATCCGGACTCGCGCCTCAACTCCTCGGACTCTTCCACTTATTCCAAGCAGCTAAACTCCATCGTCAAAGACTCCCAGACGACGCTCAAGCAGCTCGAGCTCGTCCTGGATTTGAACAGCAGGGGCGGAGGGCCCTACGCTGATGGCGCTGCCGAGGGCATCAACGCCGTGCAGGCCAAGCTGGTCCACCAAAAGACCGTCATCGACGCCTTTTTGGATCTGCTGCAGTCGAGGGACGCTTCGCCAACTCGCCGCCGCCGTGGACCTGGTTTAGAGGCCATCAAGGACAAGGTGGATGCTATTGGCCGTAGGCTCTTCCGTCGCGACAGCAACAAGACCAGTAGCGGAGATGACAAGATGTGGAAGAAGTTCAAGGCCGAGCTTGTCAGGGAGGGCTTCTCATCCAAGGTGCTGGATGAGCATGAGGTATGTCCCCTTGCGCACACTTGACGACATCTCGTGGCGCAGATACGGTAGAAGCTGACACAATACAGGATGTCTTGCGCGCCTACATCCAAGAGATTGAATCCGTGCCCTCCATGAAGGACGGCATTCCGCCTACCGTCCGAGGGCTCCTTGAGCTTGATGGAGACTCCGTTCCCAACCCCATATATGCTCGCCACATGACCTTTCCGCCCATCGCCTACGACAAGACGGCTAGCATGGACACTGAGCGACTCATGCCGGATCAACGACCTCTTCCATCTCTGGCCCAAGAGCTGTCGTACGACCCCCGTGCCTGTGCTCCGAGTGAGAATGACGGCAACATTGGGAAATCCTTTGACTTCATCTCCACGCGAGATCTGCTACTGATGGATTCGCTCAGCTCGGACATGGCTGGCCTCCATCTAAGCAGCTCTCCCACGCAGGTGGATGCTCCATCATTCCAGCCCATCATGTCTGGGGCTCTGCCACTACCCGAGATAAGGCTACCGACGTCTACAGCCCCTCAGGCAATTCCCCAAGCAAGGCAACTCAGTGTAGATGGAATAGCGCCTCACTTGTACGGATCCAGTGCTCCGCCGGCCTATGGAGGGGCGTCGCTGCCTCGGTTGGCTCCGGATAGCTATGGGCGGGATATTCCAATGCATGCAGAGTGGACCAAGATCAAGCGCTCTGTCGTCAGCCCTGAGGCTCTTCATCGTGCCGGCGTGCGGTACGAAGCTCGCCCGGGCTACGTCGCCATCCTTGGCCACCTATCGCTCGACCAAGTTACCCATTACGCCCGTTTGAGCGCCGAGTGCCGTGCCGCTCGGCGAAGTGTACCTCCAGTCAGCAAGCAACATTCTCATCACGTCAATAGGCCCGAACGAACGGGATCCGAGAGTAGTCGAGATGGAAGCGCTGAAGACGACAAAGATTCGGAGCGCCGGAGCGACGTGTCTGACGCCGACGACGATAAAGCGTTGGACGAAAAGGATGTCAAGAACCATCCCATCATTGTGAATCCGCCGGAAAGGGGCAAGAGGTCGTCTGCACCCAACCCCGTGATGCCGAAGCCCATCCTAAAGAACAAAAACACCAACCATGTGCGCTTCGGCCCTGACCCCTACGAGGTGGAAGCCCGACCAGATAAGGACAGTCGCGAGGGTAAGGAGGGCCGTGAGAGTCGAGATTCCAATTCTTCCAAGAAGTCTCGCGACCGCGACGAAAGAGACAGAGATGATCATTCTAGACGCCGCGAAGACAGGGACAGAAGGAGGCGTGACAGTGATCCGTCATATGACGACAAATATCGCCGAGACCACCGTGACCGAGATCGAGATCGAGACGACGGTTATCGGTCGCATCACAACGACCGCGATCGCCGCGACGATCGGAGACGGGAGAGACCTGCTAGGCGGCAGCCATGGGGCGAGGCGCTCGGAATGGTTGGCATTGGTGGTGCCGCTGCCAGCTTGCTGGGAGTTTTGGCCGAGGCCGCCATTGGAGGTTGATGATATATTATCTTGACATTTCGCAAACATTATGCACTCATTTCTACACTGCTTTTAAAGGAGGTTTCTCTTTTGAACTTTCAAGGCAACACTTTTTTTTTTCTTTGTACATCATTTGGTTACGACTGGCATTGTGGGTTTGGACATTTCACCTTTACGCTGTTTAGTATCACGAACCATTGGGTTTTATTTGCGAGCTGGAACAATCATGTTGTAACGAACGCATCGACTCGCTTCTGCATTCTTTCAGGGGTGGACTGTTTCGAAGTGAGATGGGGGCAGGTGGGAAATACCCTAGGTTGGCTGCATCTTGTACATATCGATGGTTTATCTTTGGCTTTTGGCTTCTTGGGATAGATGGATTGGATGAATTACGAATCATGACTGGCACTTGTGATATCTGATGCAGATTTTTGAGTATTTTTTGTGAGATGTGTATATGAGACTCAGCTTTACTTGGATAAAGATGTTTCATTTAATATATTTTTTTTTCCTTTGGCTTGTATGTGGATGCTCTTTATAGACACTCTTCTATAGACAAATGGACCCATCTATCGAATACAGCACATGTATTCAGAAGCAAGAAGAAAGGAAATAGAGTCTACAGCATCAATTCCTCTTCCAAGGCATCCCACCATCCTTTCGCCCTCGACTCCCTCGCCGCCTCACCCGGCGGTCGACGCGCCAGCTCGGATCTCTTCCTCGGCACCCTCTTCCACTCCAACACCTTGATGCTGTCAACCTGAGGCCAGGGAAACTCGGGGTCGCTGGCGCCCTCAAACTCTCGCGCATAGAGACCGGCCTTCTTCTGCGGAAGGGTGCGGCGGAAGGTGCCGGCGTCCCAGTCGAAGCGCCGGGTGACGTCGGCGTCCGGGCGGCGCAGGACGACGTGGCCCTGGGCGGTGCGGTAGCGGATCTCGTGGTGGAAGAAGCCGGGGAACTCGAGGAGCAGGTCGGGGACGCGGACGCGCATGAGGGAGGACTGGCGGGCCTTTGTGGCGGAAGCGGACTTGAGGAGGCGGGCGAACCACGAGGAGATGGTGTGGTGGGCGTGGTCCTTGTAGAGCTGGGCCTGGCGGCGGCGGGAGGTGGCCCGGGAGGTGAGGGAGGAGGCGTGGGCGGTGGAGATGGAGTGGAGGGCGTCGAGCTGGAGGACTTCGTCGGCGAGGGCGGTGTGGTGGGCGGTGGTGAGGGAGTCGTAGAGGGGGATTGCGTGGGTGCGGATGGCGCCGATGGCTTGGCCAAAGGAGCGCTGGTTGATGAGGGTTTTGACGTAGATGTCGAGGTCGGCCAGCGTCGGGGTGACGCTGTACGGCGCCGCGGTCATGACGTCCCAGACGTGGCGGACGTCGGCGGCGGAGCTGGCCGTGGAGAGGCTGCCGGAGTGGATGTCGCGGGTGCGCTTCAAGGGCTTGGAGGCCGAGACGTAGGTCCAGCTGAGGAGGCTGGACCACGTCTCGTGCGGGATGGCGATGCCGTAGCGGCGGGAGACAAAGTCCAGCAGCTTCGTGCCGAGGACGATGTGCGACATGGACCCAAAGGCCTCGACGATGGCGTGCAACAGGCGCGGGGTCGGTTTCAGGGGGGAGTTGTGGGCGAAGTCGCGGCCTCCGGATACTTGGATGCCGCCATCTTCGGTGGTGGTGACGACGATGCCGTGGTAGCTCTCCAGGATGAGCTTCTTGATGGAGTAGACGGAGCTGGACCTGGCAAAGGCGATCATGGAGGTGCACAGGAGCTCTTCGTCCATTTCGTGGCCGTAGTAGAGGTTTCGTATCCAGTGGTTCTTGTAGCTCGTGTAGCCTGCGCGCCGGCGGAGGAGACGCCGCAAGTCTTCGTCCAACTGGTCTGGTCTGCGGTTCCACGGCTCTCTCTTCAAAGCGTTGACGCCGAATCTGATGTTTTCCAGGCGTTCGAGCTTCGATACAGGCAGCGGGTTGTGGTTGCTGTACAGGTCGCGCGCAAGGAACGCAACTCTGGAGCGGTCGAACTGGTAGTAGACGGGCTCTACCATGAAACGAGCCTTGATAAAGTCGGACCACGACTTTGACGACCGAGAATCCTGCAAGCCTTGGGCTGCCATGGCGGTCCAGAATGCCTTGGCTTGTTGATGGTCCATTGCTGCGCCCGCACATCTCATGGCTACTTCAAAGTCTGCGGCCGTTGGGCTGTGAGACGGCGGGGCTTGACTGCGAATCTCAATAAGGGTCCGGACGCCCTGGAGGATGCCGTGATGGACTTTGCGTACGCCAAACTGGTTGAGCAGCATGCCGGGAAAGGTGAACTGCGCATGTGCCGGAGTGAGGTTGAGTCCATGTGCGATGTCAGCTGCAGGAGACTGTAGCGGGTCAATACTGCGCAAGATCTCGGAAAAGGTCGATACAGGAAGCTCTCGGGCTTCTCGAACTGCGGCTTCGTGATATGGTAGGTTGACATCGCTTAGGATATCGGTCCAGGCAGTGAACTCCCAGCCGATTCGGGACATGTTGCGCTTCCTGATGGATTCCAGGAGAATCCCCAACTCGGGCCGAACGCTGGGAGGAGTCAGCTCTGAAAGCAAATGACTCTGTACACTGGACGAAGTCGTGTGAGACGCTAGACTGCGCCGGCCAGTGGTTTGTCGCCCACATCTCAACGGCAAAGGTGAAGCATCGTGACGCTGGTTTCTCAGCGCTGCCAGTCCGAGGCGGCGTCCGGGCCAGACAAGTCGTCTAGGCGTCATGATGCTATTCTGCAGACCATTGAGAAGGCCACGCAGGGTGAGGAGAGCTGCGATTGACTTGTCCGAGCGACTGGGCTAGTTGATACTGGCGCGATTCTCTAGGAATCTGGGGTAAAAGTGGCTTCACAACGGGGCCGCGGGTCTTGAAGAAGCTCTGAAGCGATATGGGGTTCTGCCTCGATACTTGCATATTGTGATATGCATTTCTGGCGAATGCGCCCGCCGAAGATTTCCCACGGCATGGAGGGGCAAGGCTAGCTTTTTTTGTCGAGGCCATCTCAAGAAGCTGCCGGATTCACACGAGCTCAACGCATTCGACAAACGCAGTTCTTTCTTTTTTTCCCTCCGGCTCAGGTACACAGAAGCGAATCTCGAGATACGAAGCATGGCGGATGTTGGGGAGGAATCCAGCCACGTGGCTGAGCCGCTCGATCTTGTGCGGCTACTGCTCAACGAAGTGGTTTTTGTCAAGCTGCGCGGTGACCGAGAGCTCAAGGGCAAGCTCCATGTACGCGCCATTCGTGGATTTTCGGTTCTAGAGGTGGATGAGTGCTGATGAAGTTGTTGTTATAGGCCTACGATAGCCACTGCAACCTGGTGCTGGGCGATGTGGAGGAGACCATCTATGCCGTCGACGATGACGAGGAGGAGAGCGACGAGGTCAAGGTGAGGAGATGACGGTTCACAAGCAGCAGCATATGGGGCTAACATTTGGCAAGACAATTAGCAGGAAATCAGAAATGTTGTTTGTGAGAGGTCAGTTTCTTGCATGTGACTGCAGTGGTCAAGGGAGGGGTGGCTAACAGATTCACAGGCGATAGCGTCGTTTTGATCTCTCCCCAGGTTCCTTTCTAGAATAGACAGCAAATTGCAGCAATGATACCAATGAGAAACTGAGACAAGCCCCCACGATCCATACGATGCGAAGAAATACATGACGCGCTCCTGACCTTTACCGTGGCATGAGCAGGCAATTGCGAAAGTGACACGATGAACGAGGCGACAAACTGCTGCAGCTGATTTACATTGGCCGGTGTACATCGAATTCCTCTGTTGCTCGCTGTATATGGACTTGACCGATGTCGCTGGAGACTCTTGCCAAGGGTGAACGAGTCTATGGCACTGGATGACAAGGATGGAGGGAGACGGGTCAGCATGCTGTAGTCGGTTCCCCTCTCCTCGCAGAGTTTCTTTTCATATTTCTCTTGAAGGAGTGGAATCAATGCGCACGCATCTTTGGTTCTGTTCTCTCCGTCTCTCTGAAAGGACAAGGAGGGCTGTCTGGACATGGGCAGGCAGACAGATACGGCGATATGTAATTAGTGGCGGTATGCTCTAATCGCAGACCAAGATCGAGTCGTGTCATCGCCCCACATTTCTGTGCGAACGCTCGCCTTATCGATAACCAGTCAACCACTCTCTCCGAGGCTCCTTGGCTGAGGCTCAGCTCAAACAGTGACTCCTTTCGCCGTTGACTAACAGCTAAACCTAGCCAGGCCGAAGAGTCATAATTTTTGTCTCGTATATCGTCTATATAACATGCTTCCCAGCATCTTTTCCCTTCCAGATCCTCCGGCTATCTATTATATTTATTGTAAAACGGGTGTCACGGCATAATGGCGACCAAGGCGGCGGCCAAGGCGGCCAAAAGCCACGAACATGACAAGCGCAAAGGCGAATCGGTAAGCTATCCTTGCAATAGCCAGTTGGTCTAGGTCGGACCATGATTGAATGCTAATGCGACCTTGCGCAGGCCCTCAGCGACTTTGCGGAATACGTAGAGCAGCAGCAGAACCTCCGGTATCCCTCGACCAAGAAGCCCGTTCCCGACTCGGCAGAGCACGATGCGGAGCTGGACGAGCTCCTAGACAGCCTCAATCTAATAGACTCTGCGCCGCCGCGGATCAAGCTCAGGGACCTCGTGCTCGGGACGGACGATGACACGTTGCGGAAGCTCGGGGATGTCATCACGGAGCGGATAGAAGAGGGCGCCGGGGAGACTGTTTTTGACCTTGGCTTCGAGAACAGCGGCGAATCCATGCAGCTGACGCTGGACGAGTGGAATATCGCATATCCAAGACTAGTCGAGGCTGCGAAAACGGTGCGCGCAGCCTGTCAGCTTCTCCTGACGACCAATGTGGGCGGCAAGGAAGAGGCTGAGAGCACGGCCACCAATCCAACAAAGGACAAGAGCTGTAGCGGAAAGATTCTAATCCGGAGGATACCAGGCAAGATAGAAGACGTCATTGAGACTCGAATAGCCGTAGTTGGCAACGGTAAGAAGCTTCCCGTGCTGCATCGGGTCGGAACCATGTGCTAAAGGCGGATCACCAACAGTTGATGCCGGAAAGAGTTCGCTGCTAGGCGTCCTGGTGAAGAATGATCTTGACGATGGGCGAGGAAAGGCGCGGGTGAATCTCTTCCGCCACAAGCACGAAATGGAATCTGGGCGGACAAGCTCCGTGGGCATGGAAATCATGGGATTTGACAGTCTGGGCCAAGTCGTCACCTCGGATACTCCCGGTCGAAAGCTGTCCTGGGAAGATATCGGAAAGCACAGCGCCAAGGTCATCACGTTTAGCGACCTGGCAGGACACGAAAAGTATCTCAGGACGACCGTCTTCGGCCTGCTGTCCAGCAGCCCCGACTTTTGCCTCCTCATGGTTGCGGCCAACAACGGATTGGTGGGTATGAGCAAGGAGCATCTGGGGATTGCGCTTGCGCTCAACGTGCCAGTCATGGTCATCATCACCAAGATTGACATTTGTCCGCCCAACATCCTCAAGGAGACCATCAGCCAGGTCAACAAGATCATGAAGAGCCCTGGGGCGAGAAAGATGCCGACCTTTATCACAACCCGCGAAGAGTGCATCAACACGGCGACCCAGTTTGTGAGCAAGAGGATATGTCCCGTCTTCCAGGTGTCCAACGTCACCGGCGAGAACCTCGATCTCGTACGGACCTTTTTGAACATGCTGCCGCACCACGGCCACTACCATTCGGATGCGCCATTCGAGTTCCAGGTCAACGACACGTTCTCGGTGCCATTCACGGGGACTGTGGTCTCTGGGATCGTCAAGTCAGGCATGGTTCACGAGGGTGATAACGTCCTCATCGGACCGGATTCTCTGGGGCACTTTACCCCCACAGCGGTGCGTTCCATTGAGCGCAAGAGAATACGCGTGCAAGTGGCCGAGGCAGGACAGTCTGCCTCGTTTGCGCTCAAAAAGATGAAGCGACGAGACGTTCGTAAGGGGATGGTGATGCTTCACAAGGAGGAGGGACAAACAGGCCCAAAGGTGTTTCGCGAGTTTGTTGCAGAAGGTGCGTCATCTAGGTGTCTCTGGGCGTATTATAACGGAATGCTAACCAAGACAGTTCTCATCTTGTCTCACGCGACCACAATCAAGAAGCGCTACCAGGCCATGCTGCATGTTGGCGCTGTGTCACAGACATGTGCCATCATTGACATTGATCGCGAGCTAATCCGTACTGGTGACCGTGCCAATGTTGCGTTCCGCTTCGTCCAGCGTCCAGAGTACATTGCCCCTGGAGACCGGCTGCTCTTCCGCGAAGGTCGTACAAGAGGCCTTGGCATTGTCAAGTCCGTGGGGTATGACCACGAGCATCCACTGATGAGTCCCCCGGACGATGGCATCAAGGCTGCAGAGCCAGAGCAGCAGGATGGTCCCATAGCGACGAACGAAGTGGCCAGTGGGACATGGTAGTAAGAGATGGATTGGCTAAATGAAGGGGGAACACAGCGTGTACAGCCGCCATGTTTATGTTTATGCTTATAATGTAGCTTTTTCTTTCTTTCCATCTTCTCACCAAGCGATAAAGCGGTGTACTTTGCATTGTCATTACATAGTATTGGTATATAGTCATGTACGAGAATCTCTGGCAGACTCTCGTGTCCATTATACATCATCATCTCTATCAATGTTTCTCAACCATGCCCGTATTGCTATAATTCCAATTGGCCAGTCTTGCCTTTGGCACTTGCAACAGCTCCATGATATCGCCATCATCTGAGAAATACCGTTCCAGATACATCAATATGGCCTTGCCTTCTACAATACAACGCCGTCGTAACCACCATCGTTTTTCTGGTACGACCATGGAGTGCCAATATAGGAGGAGGAGGAGCGCACGAGGATCCTTCTCTTCGACGAGACTCCTATATGAGGGGTCTATCTGAGTGATGAAACTGAGGAAGAGAATGACGGTGTCGTCGTTGATCGGGTTCATCGAAAGCGCGGAAAAGATGGCACAAGCACCATGATACGGGTTCGTCTCCGGGGATGATGTTGCCGAGAGGTTGAAGACCGAGTAGAAGAGCGGGGGGAGCGAGTTTGGTTCAATGACGGAGGGATCGATGGGATTCTGCATGGGGGTTTGGTTGAGGAGATTGTGAAACACGCTGTCAGGACGGTTCGGGTCGGTGATGTTCCAGACGGCGCGCTTTCCGTGGCCCATCTTGAGCCAGTCGAGGTCGACGGCCGGGTTTGGGTCGGCGAGGGGCCATGCGGCGGAAGGGTCTTGGGTGCGGATGGAGGCGAAGGAGGCGGCTCCGAGGGTGGAGGCGCAGATCCAGAGGGCGTCGCGGTGGGAGGAGGAGAGGGTCGTTTCGGGGGAGGGGAGGGAGAGGAAGTGGGAGAGGATGGCGGAGCCGTGGTACCAGTGGAAGGCGAGGGATGCGTGGTGGGATTGGGGGAGGGGGGATCGGGAGAGGTGGGCGTCGTGGAGGAGGGAGAGGGCGAGGAAGAAGTGGAAGAGGAAGGGGTGCTGTGAGTTGAAGGTTGTTAGCATCGAAGCTGCTTGGATGTCGATGTACGACATGGTGCATCGAGGAGGGGGTGGAAAGACGAGACTTGCCTCCTTTGCGAGACCAGATACAATCTTGGGATACCATTTCCTCTGACTGGTGGTCCCCAATGATGAAATCGTCCTCGTCTGAAATCGATGTAGAGCTGCGTAGTCTTGTGGCCGTAGAGTGTATTCGCCCAGCCTGCCCTGCAGAGGCAAGACTATGGGAATCCGCAGGCCAGGCTGGAGAGAGGCGTCCCAGAAGATGCTATCCGTGGGGAGAAGACTGACAACGGGGACTGGGACTTGGCTGGGCGAGAGATCGAATCTCAGGACGCTGGAGTGGGAAAGCTGGAGGGTTGGGGCTGTGCGGGCGTAGTTGCATGTGAAGCCAGATGCGTGGCAGCGGCGACAGGCGGGTTTGGATTCATCGCACTGTTGGTTCGAGGCGTGTAAGTCATGGATGTTGTTGAGTAGAGCACGGTGTATGAAAGTTTGCGTGTGTATATGTGTGTGCTATTACAGAGAGAGAGTACGTGTATTACAAGAGAGAGCTACGTATGGCTATGAGAGGAATAGATGGGGGAAGACAGAAGGGGGGGGGGGGGGGGGGGGGGGG